ATGAGAAATTTCAGGACAACTTGAACAAATATTAATGCCTTTTATATATGACTGCAGAAAGAGCTCGTGGCTTAACTGACCTGATTTTGTATTTTGAATTGATACCAATCATTGTTAGCATATTAGTTTTGTAGAAATTGTTGTGTTTTTTCTTCTCATCATATCACACATTGGTACATCTGGTAAGACCTAATGTCTTTATTTGTTTTCAACAAATGGCTGAAAGCCATTCAGTAAAACTTAGTATATGGCCTTTGATCATTCAACTAATAGATTGGTTAGGTATTTTATTCGCTAATTAAACACAAATGCTCCAGATGTTTGCCCATTTCTATTTATTTAAAATAAATCTTGTTACATTTGATAAATCTTGTTGGATTTTCTTTTACTGTGCCTCTTTTAATCTGAACACTGTTTCTGTGCACTTTTTTAAACTTAAAAGAGCAGAGTAAGGAAAAATGTACAGGCCCAAAGATAAAGTCTAGACATGTTTTTTAGGTTTTAAACCTTTCCCCTTTCTCAGTATCTGGTGATTTTCACTGTTTATATAGCATTCAGTCTCTAATGTGTCACATTTAGTTATTGATATTACATTAAATAGGTCAGCAGACTTTTGGTCCTGTCCAAAATGTCCATAATTAGAAAACATCGGTGGGTTCAGCTAGCCCATAATGTTTATTTTTACTTTAGGTTTCAGACATAAAAAATACTACCATGTTTTACTGTGTTGTGGTGGTATTGTCCATATTAACCCTGGTAACCTAGCTGGTAATGGCTCATGGGGTTTGGTAGATAGGTGGGCGTGGGTCAAATATCTCTTTGGGCATTTTGGTACAGGTCCAATTATATCAAGGACCTTTTGGCATGGACCAAATATGTCTTTGGATTTTTTTTCCTAAGACTTTTATATCTTATTTTTATTTACGTATTTTTAGACAGAAGGGAAGAGAGGGTAAAGGACAGGGAGATGAACACGAATGTGTGGTTGCTTTTCACACTCCTCCCACTGGGGACCTTGGCCCACAGCCCAGGCCTTGACTGGGAATTGAACCAGCGACCTGTTGGTTCACAGGCCAGTGCTCAATCCACTGAGCCACACCAGCCAGGGCTTGTTGGATGTTTTGGTACAGGACCGAATATCAAGGATCATGCGTCTCTCTGAATGTTTTGGACAGGACCAAATGTCCTGCACTGGTTAAATAGGATGCACTGTTTCTTTTTTAACTTTGGGACTTGAAGATTTTTTTCAGTTCTTCATCATGGTATAAAAGAAAATTTGTTTCTTGAGGAGAGAATTTGTTTTAAGTCTTAGGAGAAATGCATACATATGTTCATGCAATTTATCATTTAACCAAAGGTTATCTAAGCCCGAGGGTCTACTATTGCTCAATAACATGCATTATCATATAGAGCACTGAAGCTGCTTGTGTTTTTGGAGCTTGCACATGTACCTTCAGCCTTCCCATAAGTTCAGGGCATGCCAACAGAGTTTTATGATTCTCTAGTTTATTTTATGTTTATTATTCACCATATAATAGGTCGTTTTGTTGGAAATGGATTAATATTATAGCACTAGGCAGTTTTAAAGTCTTTTAGGAGAGTGCTTTTATCTTTTCTAACATAGGGCTAATTGGAAGAAGTTTACAGCTGGGTTTTCCAAAGTGTGTTTTTATAGAATACTAACTCTGTAGATTGTTAATAGATATTACATGGGATGAAATAGTTAATTAAGTTTGGAAAGCATAGTGTTAAGTAATGTTAAATAGGTTTCTTCTTGAAGGGCTTCTAAGAATTTTTTTAATGGTGGTGGTTTATGAATTACTAAGAAGGAAATAATCTACAAAAGTTTGAGAAGTTTGGGAACATAGGATGAACTTACGTTTACTATATTTAAACTATTTGTTCCCATGCTTGTAGACTTTTTGGGCATTTTACACTCTATATTATGCTTATTTCAGGTTAATGATTGGATTCTTTGCTTTAATTTTAAACCTACTTCTCAGAGGTGTCTGGAGGTTGAAGAAAAATGTTTTAGCATATAATTTGAATATGTACTAGCATACTGTTTAAAAATATGTTTATCCTATATTTTCTTTTTCAGACTCTATACTACAGGGTTTCTCAAATATTTTCACTTTGGAACCTTTTTTATATGGATCATTTTCAGGGACTAGTGTTTCATGCTACATACTTTGGGAAACATAGGTCTGGCTTTAAAATATTCCTCAATTTGACTACTTCATGAAAGTGTTCAGTTTTCATAACGAGGGGAAATATTTCACATATTTGATGTGTTATATTCAGTTAGATTTTGGTTTGACATTATTATTATTACAAATCTACTAGTTGCTAATATTGTAACTAAGCTTTCTTTAATGTTTGCATCTAGAATGGAGATAATAATAAGACTTAATTCTTAGGGTTATTGTGAGGATTAAGGCACATCTTCTATGTAAAAGATTCAACATGGTGCCTGGTACAGAATAAATACTGAAAGTTTGTTTTAGGGAATTATATTTGTATATGTTCCTCTCACATTTTAGAGATGGATGGTTTATCTTTTGGCCTTGTTCTTAAAATTTTGTTAGCATGAGCTACATGTCTGGATGCTATATTAAAATTTTCATAAGAAAGGCTCTTGGTTTTGTAGGTTTTTTCCTAAACAGAAAATCTGTAGCACTTAATCTGACAGGGTGTATTTATGGCTCACCTTTACCTTTGTATTCTGTAGCAAAAGTATGCTCTCTTTAAGAGCTCTTGATGGTTTCAAGGTGCTGCAGATGGCTTCAGGGGGAAGAATTTAGCCAGTCCCTGAACTGTACATGTAAACACACATGCCTTGAAAATTGCCAGGCTTCTTGAGAATTATATATCACATTTGTAATGAGGTAACTTTAGCTTTTCTCATGGTTTGCCTGCATATTTTTTGAAACATGTTCAACAGTCCATATGTAGCTTCTCTGTTCTCTAGTGGATCCAGCATGTAATAATAACTGTAGGCAAAATAATGAGAACCTAGTTAAATAGGGTTGAAATGGTTGAAATAAATTGGTGATAACTGTTTAGAACCGTAAGTCAGAAGTATATCCTTTAACATTTCTTGCAGTGCAGGACTGCTGGCAACAAATTCCCTCAGCTTTCCAGTGTCTGAAAACAGCCAGAGGAAAGAAAATAAAAACGTACAGGGCTGTTTTCAAGAACAGTGATCTGAATGATGGATTTCTTATCAGGGGCAAATAGTAAGATAGTAGACAGACATCAAAGTTATTACTTTTTATAAAGAAGTTTTAGAATATAAATTTTTAAATTGCTGTGAAGATAAAGGTAAAGAAAATATTGTTTAATCTTTTAACTAAAGAATCACAAATCAGCATATAAATGAAATAGATTTATAAAAATATGTATGGGTTAAGCGAGATTTTACTAATGTATACAGTGTTTTAACTGCTTCAAAACCTTTGTTTAAAGTTCTTTAGTAAGTCCTTAGAAGTAGCTGGTCTCACTTGAGAATGGTTTAAACATGTTACATTGGTTTTATCTATAGTGCCTTTTATTTAGATTCTCTAACATTATGGTCAATTAAATATTTTTGTTTAAAATAGCATTCATGTCAGTTTCAAAAGGAGAATAATTTTATTCTTATATATTTCTTTCACCGTTGTGTATATAGTAAACATGTATTTATTGGGCTTTGTTACTGTTAAAATATCATAAATAATTTTTTAAAAATGGTCATATGGCCATCATAATTGCAATTTTTGATGAGTATATCATATTTTGTACTTATCTGCTCTTCTATTATTGAATATTTGGGCAATTTCTTTTTAAAGTTCGTTACAGATAATACTGTGATTAACATTGGCGCAAATAAAATATAATTTACAAAAATTTTTTCTCCTGGATAAAGTCCCATGGTTTATGTTTATATTTTATTGTAGTTTATGTAGTACTTTACTTCTCATACCATTTATTTTACAAGAACTTACAGAGTGCTAATTCTGCGTGCCAGTTACTCATGGGGTAACTGGCCAAGGTGAACTAACTTGTCGGGTCACATAGCTAGTAAGTGGCTGAGCAGGCCGGCTCCAGGGCTTGTGCTCTCACAGCTTTGTGGTGATACTTTTTTTGAAACATCTTGCCAGTTAGCTCTCTCAAAAAAGGATTGCATTTTTTTTAACCAGTTTAACCACAATTTACCAATATTGAATGATAAAATATTAAAAAAATAGTTTAATAGTTATAAATGATATACTTTTATACTATAAAAGTACTTGAGAAAGTAGATTAATTTAGAAATAAAGCTATTAGCTAATTTTTTTTTAAAAAGCTTTTCTATATGATTATTTTTTACCATTAGAAATTTGAAAGTAAAGGGGATATTGACTAAGGTTATTACTAAAGGAGATTTTGGAGATTCCTAGAATGAGTCATCTGTCTTTGCAGACAAATCACATTGTTTAATAACTTAGTAGAGACACTTGATTGTACAAAAATATGACAATTTTGAGAAGAGTTTTCTATGTCAATGATAATTTTAAAAATTACTTAGGATAAATGTTTAGAATTCTAAGGGCCCTCCCCGTTCATAGTTGAAAATTAAAAACCATGCTGGAGAGTGTAAATTAAAAAGCAAAACCCGCTGCCCTGGCGGGAGCTCGGTTGGTTGGAGTGGTGTTTGGTGTGCTAAGGTTGTGATTGATCCCCACCCTCACCCCGCTACGGGCATGTGCAAGAGTCAGCCAGTGAATGCATAAATAAGTGGAGCAACATACTGATGTTGCTGTTTCTCTCTTTCTGAAAGTCAAAAAAAAAAAAGAAAAAAAGAAAAAAAGTAAAACCCTCCCTTTCTCCTCGTCCCCTGATTTCAAATCCACTAGAAATGTAAAAACCATCCACTGTCCCATTTGCTGTTCTTATTTTCCAGCTGTAACTGCTATTAATTATTTGTAATATTTATTCTTTATGTAAAAGTCTAACGTTTTTTTTTTTTTGTGGTGCAGCTGTGAATTCTTTGGAATTGTGAATATTCTTTTGAAATATGGAGTCCAGCTAAATGAACTTCATTTGGCATACTGCCTGAAGTATGAGAAGTTTTCAGTATTTCGATACTTTTTGAAGAAAGGCTGTCCATTGGCGTCATGGAACCATATATCTGAATTTATAAATCATGCAGTTAAAGCACAGGGAAAATATAAGGAATGGTTGCCATCTCTCCTACTTGCTGGATTTGACCCACTGAATCTTCTATGCAATTCCTGGTAAGAAATGCTACAATAGTGGACCTTACCTTTTTAAGTGAATATACTAGTACCTTTAAGTTCCCCCAATTTCTTGAGACCTCATTTTGGGATGGGGGCGGGGGGAGAGAGAGTGAGTGAGTGTGTGTGTGTGTTTGTGTGTGTGTGTGTGTATTAGACTGTGATGGCTGGATTGGGGACTGCTAATAGTGAAATTGAATATAAGGACAGATTCTTGCCAAAAGGCATGAGGTAACTGGAAGGAAGTAGAAAGGGATAGATGCTCATAAACTCTTCTGAGAGGTGTATCTTTTACTTACGCCATCTGTCATGCTCCTGTTAAAATGTCTCTGACAGAATGGTGGTAGCTGCTTTGGAGATTTCTGTTATCCCTTAGTCAATTAGATTGAGCACTTCTGTTCTACAGCATTTTGTTTATTTGAACTTTGTCTCCCTTAACAAATACTAATTTCTGAAGTGGCTGAGGATATAACTTGTTTACTTCACATAGTTTCTTAGAAGGGTAACCTCTATGAGTGATTATATTGAAAGCTGCGTTAGGATTTTTTTTGGGGGGGGGCAAGAAGAGGAAAACTGTTTCTATAGTCCCAGGCCTTTGCAAAAGTTGTTAGTGTCTAGTTGGGGCTGAGAAGGTAATTGTAGCAGTAAGAGAACTCTGTTGGCTAGATAATTCAAGTAAGTGAGAAAATAGAATAAAAGTCTCCAGGAAAATAGAGGACAGGGTATTTTATAAAATTTCAGTAAGTCATTATAGAAGGCTTAATTTTTGTGCCTCAAAATCTACCATTTACTAAAATAATATTTAGACAAATACTGAGATTTTGTGTGTCAGCAGAAAAGTGCTTTGGTACGTTATTTATTTTTTCAAATGAGATCCTCTTGGGGTTCGTGCAGGTGACAGGATGGTCCCTGCTTGTGAATTCAGTTTGGGTTGCTGGAGACGCCATTTCCACCTGGTGGCCTCTCCGTCTGTATGTGAAGAACAGTCTTTATTTGGCAGTGTCCCAGCATTTCACCTTTTTATCATGTCTGCTGTTATAAATAATTGAGCAATTTTCACTAAGCAGAGGTTTTATACTTAGGGCTGTGGTAGGTGATTTGAGGAGTATAGAAGTAAAGGCAAAGTTTAGATACACTGTCTCATTTCCACTTCAGTTTTTTGTGTGTGTGTACAACAGGGTGAGTCCCTGATTATATTTACCCATTTCTCTGGAAGCTGATTAATACATAGTTATCTGTTAAATGCTCATTGTTGCCATTTCCTCTATACCTTTTTAATAAGTTTTGACAAAAACATTGTATTTTCAAGATAATTGAATGAAATGTAAAGATTATTGACAGTTTATTGAGAAATCTCTGATTTTTAAAAGTTATTTGTATATGTATATTCATCTTAACAGATACACACACACAACTGAGATATAAACACTCACTAATGAATGCCACATCTAGCTATTAATAAAGCTATGTAATTCCCCTAATGTTTTCCTTAGTGAATTTTATTGTTGTGTCTGGGCTCCTGACAGCTAGCAGCAGTTGCTCCTCACCGTTCTAGGATTCACTCACTGACTGCAGCTGGAAATCCAGCCCAACGCGTTGGGTCGCTGGTGGCAGCCTTGACAGTGTGTTCCCTTCCCTCTGTTACCTCGCTTGGTGCTTGTCCTCAAGCCACTTTCTTCTCAGCCTCACTCTTTGTGTTCCTCTGTTGAAGCTACTCACTCAGCTCCATATTACTGGCCCATTGCTTTCAGTTTTTTGGTTTCAAGTATATCTATTTCTGGTTTCTAGTTTATTTCTTTAACCAACACTTAGAATCCTACCTGACATATGTTAGGCGATATTTTAAGTTCTTTACTGTATTAATTTATTTACTAAAAAATACACTAGATACTATTATTTTTATTTTACAGAAGAGGAAATTGAGGCATAGTGATTAACATACTTGCCCAAGCTCACACAGTTAATACTGGAACTTAAATTTGAACACAAGTTATCCTGTAGTGTGGCTCAAATCTATCTTTCTAACCACTGTGCTATATAGTTGTATCACTTAATTTTGGGTATCTTAATCCCTTGCCTAACCTGATGATCTGTGCCAATTTACCTTGCTCTTTTCTACTCTTAAATGAAGAACCTATGCAGGGAAAAAAATTAAACATTGCCTTTTTTCCATTCCTCTTCAGCCAATTATATAGATTGCTGGAAATAAGGGGAATTATTTAGCTTTATTCTCCTAGAAGGCTTTGGAAAATTTACTCTCCCATACAAGTTCTGATAGAGACCTTCCTCCCCCAATGTGAGTAGCTCATTTGAGAATTTTTTGTGGTCATAAGCCACTAAATATAGTGTGAGCTATATTTATTGGATGGATTAGGGTAGAAGAGAGTTAAGAACCAATAAACTACAAATTATTTTGAAGTAAATTGTAAAACTTACAGCTCCCTGGATTGAGAATGCCAACTGTATATAGTTTATTCAGAAGGGGTAACTTTAGTCACTTTATATTCATTAGAAAAATACACTAGAAAATTTCACTTTAGCAATATGCTTAACATGGTCAAATTTTTGTTCACTGTTCTTTTATTGAATGGACAAAGCCACTGTTTACACCGAATATGATTTTTTTGATCAAATTTACATTCATAGAGCTGTTATAAGAAAAATTCTCCCATAAAAATGCAATGTCCTGTTAAAGTGGGTTTTGGTTATATCTTATTTATATCACATGTAAGTCTGTTGCTTAATCTTTGTCATGTAAATTATAAATGTCTTTCACTGCTTTTTTGGTCTTGAATGTTCTTTAAAAATATATCAGGCTGAATAATTTGCCTATCACAGTATAATCTACAGAGCTGAAACGCTTTTTCAACTTTAAATGCAAGGCTAGGTGCCCCTACTGAATGTAATGAGTAGTGTTCTGCTGTGTATAATGCACACCTATGTTTTTGGCTCAAACTTTCAGGAGAAAATCTTTTATTTCAATTTTTTACTTATTTATAATTACATACTTGTTTTTTGTATTATAAAGGGATTTTAGCATTTATTTTTGAACATATTATGGTACAAGAAAATTTATGTAACAAATAATTACAAAACACAAGAACAGATACAAGGTATTTCAGTTGCTAGCTGTGTATAATGCACATCCTTATTTTTCCCTCAAAAATTTGGGCAAAAAAAGTGCGCATTATACATGGCAAAATCCAGATAAGCAATAGAAAGTAAGTGTCATCTGTTCACTTAATTGATTAACTGTCTCTCATTTATGATTCTGCAACTGCTCTGTACAACATAATGGTCAATGTAGTACAATAACAATACATTTTTAGTGGCATTATTATCAGCATTGGTAAAATTAGTTATATAAAATAGTGTAAACAGATTTATTTCTTGTGTGTGTGTTTAGATAACTGCATAAAAATGACTTTGTATTTGGTTTCAGTGAGATCTAAAGCACACTAATGCAGAAAAATGAAACCATTAAAAAAGAAATAAGGATCAGAACCAAATAACCTTGGGTGTGGCTTCCTAGAAAGTCAAGGAGATTTTTTTTGTTTTTGAATATACTTTATCATTTCATTTGTTCTCAGTATTTCCTGATAAGTTGCAATTTCATCAGAAGCTTCTTGAGAAGTAAAATGTTTTCTTAAGGCATTGTGCAACACCAAGTTCATTTGTTACATAGAAGTTTGCATATTAGAGAATTAAGAATTTGGGAAATAATTTTTATATGCTAATCAATCATTTCAAGAATTTTTTGACCCTGAATTACAAAAAGTAATTTGTCTTTGAGATGAATATTATTCAGTTTCTTTTTTTCCCTTCTGTTTTTTTTACCCATCTTTTGTCCTTGCTCATTAATGTGTCCAAAAAACAAACAAACAAACAAACAAACAAAAACAACCTTGGAAAGAATTTTTTTTTGTAGTAATTACTAGAGGCTGTAGTCGTTTTCTTTTTCAGATAATGTGATGGTAGGGAGCATCTAATTGAGCACAAGATGGGTAATCTTGTTAGAATGTGTTGTTTTCTTTAAGCCATGTCATCAGGCCCGCTGAAAATTCCAAACCAGTTGTAGTAATACCAAACATTTATATAATACTTTATAGTTTTAAAGTATGTTTACTATATTTTTTTCATATTGTTTTTACAGTTAGTCCCCTGAAATTGGCTGGTTAAGTATTATTCTCAGTTTAGAGGACCAGGATCAAGGGCTTAAAGAATTTCAGCAACATGTTTGTAAGAGGAGGTAGTATTAGAAATCAGAACTTTTCTTTAACTAGTGTTTTTCATGAGGATTCAAGTGCTTATACAGTTTGGGGAGGTCTCTTTTGGGTAGATTGGTAGGAAATCTGAAATTATTTTGTAAAAATAGAGGGAGAACTGTTTGGCTTGAACACCTCCTTTCAGACCTTAGAGACGAAACTGATTCTGGTACATCGTTTAGAGCTGACTCTATAATGCAGAAGGTTCTTAGAGGAGAACAGTTGTACATTCCTGGGAGTTGAGCAGAAACAAGCCACCTCTCCCATATATTTATTTTAGGGATGGATTGGGGTAGTTAGACTTTATCCTTTTGGGACTGTTCAAGCAAGATTGTCCAGTTGGGAGGAGATAATGGTGAATTCACTGATGACACTGGTGCTGTCTCTGTCTTTTCTTGACTATGCTGGTGGGGAATGGCAAGGAAAGTTCCTACCCTTTTTAAGGGTAGAGACTCCTCTTGTCATTTATGGGACAGCTACACACAGAGTCAGTTCAGTTTCCTGTAGGAACCTGTAGATGATTATTCATATCCCCTGAGCTTGTCTCCAGTAACATGAATATTTTCTATGTGCCAGGTTTTTGTCTGCCTTCCATATTAAGGTGTTGTCAGAATAGATATGTAGTGTTTGTTTTTAGGACAAATCCCGATGTATATTGTGTCTAATGATGTGTTAACATCTTGCTAATACAGGATTGAAGCCGTCAGTGATGACACCCTTATCTTCACTTTGGAGTTTACTAATTGGAGGAGACTTCCTCCAGCTGTTGACAAGATGCTCTCTGCTCGGGCCTCAAACTCCTCTTGGGCCCTACAGCAGCATATTGGTAAGAAAGTACAATTTTTAAACACACTTCACTACTTTTTCTTCTCTTCCTTCTCTAGCTATGTTGTAATTTTAAGTATAAGAGTTGTCAGCAAATGTACTGAATTGGGCATCATTTGCATTTTCTCTGTGTGGAAAAAGGATGGGACTCTGAAGAGGGATCACAGTAATTTCCTGCCACAAAAATCATATCTGATTTTATAAGTTTAGCCCAAGGACCATATAAAGAAAAGGATGTATTTGCTGATATTTTTATTTAATGATATCCTTTTATTTTTAGTAACTATTATATAAACAAAACTGAGTTCTAAAAATCTTGTTAGTGAATATTTAGTTTGTCAGAAGAATGCTAAACTTAATTTTCCTTTTCATGGTGTGTTTGTATTTGTGTTCTCTCTTAAGTATTTTATCAGTTCTAAAGGGAAGTATTACCATGCTTTATTTTACCTGTGCTTACTGAATGTGTGCTGATGTGTTGGTATAATATATCTCTGGAGGTGAGCTGGGTGGAAATTCTGTGAATTGATTGATATTATATATGACTATTTTAAAACAAATTCTCAACTTACTCTCACTAAAAAGCTTTTAAGCTAATTAAAAAAATTAAAGAGCATTCAGTCGAAGGTTTTACACAGGAAAACTAGTTTAAACTAAATATATGCAAAGTATTCCTATTGTGTTATTCAGATTTATTTTTAACTACATTTTGTTAACCAGATTACGTGTCTTAAGAAAATTGTTTCTTCACTGCTACTTTTACATTAAATGTAACTCTGCATAATACATGTTGAATAAGCTTTTAACAAGTATATTTATGCATATGTAGAAATGTCTTACTTCTAGGAAAATTACATTTAAGTAAATTTTCTCAATCAAAAGCAGGCATTAAGGAAAGTATGCTCTTGAACTGATGCTTATGCAAACGGTTAGAGAGGTTAATATTGAAGAAAAGAATAACTTGGAGTCTCCGAGCCTTTTAGTATAGAATTTTGTTGGAAAACTCACTTACATGTAATTCTTAACGTTGAGAATTGCACCTGTTTTTACTAATCATGTATCTGCAGCAGTAGAGAATGATTTTCTATTCAGAACAGATAGAATATGGGACAGTGGGCTTGGGAGCAAAAAGTCAGAAGAGGGAGCATATGCCAAATGGAAAAATTACTGCAGAGTATCAATTAGTAAAAGACATGTGAGAATTTACTCTGAAGACTTATAACATACAGCAGATTTGTCCAGATGAAGGTAAAAATTGTGCACGAGTGCATTACCCTGCAACAGACTGACTCCATCAGGGGCTTCTTGTTTAATTAGTCACTAGGTAGAGCTTGTGTAGGGTGATAATTATCATCTCTCTTTTCTTTAAGTATATTTTATTGATTATGCTTTTACAGTTGTTCCATTTTGTTTCCACCTTTTATCCCCCTCTGCCCTGCACCCTCCCTCCCACCAGCATTCACCCCCCTTTAGTTCATGTCCATGGGTCATACATAGTAAGTTCTTTGGCTGCTCCTTTCCCTATGCTATTCTTAACTTCTCCCTGTCTATTTTGTACCTACCAATTATGCTTCTTATTCCCTGTACTTTTCCCCCCATTCTCCTCGCTTCCCCTCCCTGCCGATAACCCTCCATGTGATCTCCATTTCTGTGATTCTGCTTCTGTTCTAGTTTGCTTAGTTTTTGTTTTTGTTTTTTAGGTTCAGTGATTGATAGTCATGAGTTTGTTGTCATTTTACTCTTCATAGTTTGATCTTTTTCTTAGATAAGTCCCTTTAACATTTCATAAAATAAGGGCTTGGAGATGGTGAACTCCTTCAACTTTACCTTATCTGGGAAGCACTTTATCTGCCCTTCCATTCTAAATGATAGCTTTGCTGGATAGAGTAATCTTGGATGAAGATCCTTAGCTTTTATGCCTTTGAATACTTCTTTCCAGCCCCTTCTTGCCTTCAAATGGGCTGGCAAGATTTGATTTCTTTTGAGAAATCAGCTGAGGGTCTTATGGGAACTCCTTTGTAGATAGCTGTCTCCGTTTCTCCTGATGCTTTTAAGATTCTCTCCTTATCTTTAATCTTGGGTAACTTAATTATGATGTGCCTTGGTGTGTTGCTTCTTGGGTCCAGTTTCTTTGGGACTCTCTGAGCTTCCTGGACTTCCTGGAAGTCTCTTTCCTTGGCCAGATTGGGGAAGTTTTCCTTCATTATTTTTTCAAATAAGTTTTCAATTCCTTGCTCTTCCTCTTCTTCTTCTTCTGGCACCCCTGTGATTCAGATGTTGCAGTGATTAAAGTTGTCCCAAAGGCTCCTGAGCCTCTCCTCATTTTTTTGAATTCTTGTTTCTTCATTCTGTTCCGGTTGGATGTATATGTCTTCCTTCTGCTCCAAATCGTTGATCTGAGTCCTGGTTTCCTTCCCTTTACTGTTGGTTCCCTGTATATTTTCCTTTATTTCACTTTGCATAGTCTTCACTTCTTCCTCTATTTTGTAACTGCACTCAACCATTTCTCTGAGCATCCTTATTACCAGTGTTTTGAACTCTGCATCTGATAGGTTGGCTATCTCCTTATTGCTTAGTTCATTTTCTGGAGCTTTGATCTGTTCTTTCATTTGGGCCATATTTCTTTGTCTAGGCAGGCCTGTTACGTTGTAAGGGGTGGAGCATTAGGTATTTGCCAGGGCAGGGGCAACCCGGGTCACTGGGTTGTGATGCTGTGTGAGGGGAGAGGTCAAAGAGGGAACAGTGCTGCTTGCTCAGCTCTTACCCTGCTTTCAGTCACTTCCCCCACTATCCACAAACAAATTGTGCCCTCCTTGTGCTGATTCCCAGGTGGGTAGGCCTGTGTACATTCTAGGACCCCGTGGATCTCTCCAACGAACTCTCCTGTGAGGAGGGGAGTTTCCCCTGCTGCTGCAACCCCCACCAGTTTTTATAGCTGGAGGTTTTGAGGCTTTCTTTCCCCTCACTGGAACCTTGGGTTGCTCCGTCTGTCTCGATCCCCAGTTAGTTGTTCCTCTCGGCTTATCTGCATGCAAATGTGGGACCGCCTTTTCTGCCAGCTGCTGCCTGAACAGCCTGGTCCGCCACCTTGTCAGAGGTCTTCTGCGCCCTGGTTGCCCATCTCCACCTTTCCTACCAGTCTGGATGAATGTTTTTTCTTTAACTCCTTGGTTGTCGGACTTCTATACAGTTCAATTTTCTGGCAGTTCTGTTTTTTTGTTTTTAAATATGTTGTTTTCCTTCTTTTGTTGTGAGAGGAAGTAAAGTGTATCTACCTACGCCTCCATCTTGGCTGGACATCATAAAGAGAATTTTATTTTGGCTGAAGATTTGCAAAAGCCTTTCTCAGAGGTCTTAATGTAGCCAGTGCTTTTCTGGTCTATTTCTCTAACCAAGACTTCTCTTCTTGGTTCCAGTCCCACATATCCAACTGGCTTTTGGATACTTCCGCTTAGTATTTCCCACATTTTGATATATCCAAAATTTGAACTTGTCCTTTTTCCTACGATGCCTGCTCATACTTCTGTTTTCTGGTTCAGGAGGTGAGATGACTTGGGGGTGCTATTTACTAAGAAAGTGAGTTATCCCTGGCAGCTGTCTATTTGTTTTATCCATAGCAGTGGTGTTCAACAAGGGTGACTTGATCCCCTCCCCAAAATTGATATTTAACAATGTCTGCAAACATTTTTTGGTGTCACAATTGGTAGTGGTGCTATTGTTGTCTAGAGTGTGGAGGCCAGACATGCTGCCAAACAGCCCTTGACAACAACGAATTATCCGGCTTCAAATGTCAATAGTGTCAAGGTTGAGAAATCCTGATCCACACTTGTCCAGTCTCGAGGTCTCTTATTCCTACCCTGGAAAGACTTTTTAGCTGTGTTCTTACTGCCAATTACTTAGGAAAAGTGTGTGCTTTCTTCCTACTTATATTGGTGTTTCAGGGTATCCTTTAGTGGCTCCTCTTTTGCAGATTATGGGAGCAATTACAGTGTTGGATTTTAGTAAGGATGGGAGGAATCAAGTTTGTCTTCAAAAACAAACTTAATTTTTAACTTAAAAGAAACTTAAATTTTCTTTTTAAAAAAAAATTAATCTTTATTGTATTTTTTCCATTACCATTTAGTCCCCTTTACGACCCCCCTCCCCCCAAATCACCACACTGCTGTCTGTGTCCATGAGTCCTTTTTCCTTCAAAAACTTTTCTTGCATCAGAAAGGAAATGTGTACCAGGTAAAATATATTGACTGGTTACAGCTTTAATAGCAATTTTTTTTCCCAATTCGCTTGACATTCAGATTTTTTTGTAATAGTTTCTGGTACACAGCATATTTAATTACATTTTTTTTTTATCATGTGCCTTGTGTATACCTCTTAAAAACATCAGTTTAACTACCACATAGTAGTTGACTTAATAAAAAAAAAAAATCTTGCCAGTTGCTTATCCAAGCAACTTGCTTATCCAAGATCAAGTCTGAATAATTTAATTCTTATGGATAAAAACACTGGGCTTTAATTCATCTTGAATCTTTAATGATCAACTATGTACAATTCTATCAGTAGTATTATATGGCTGTGGATTCTACAAAGGACCCTAAAAGTGCCCTAGGAAACTCTTGATCTATTCATATCAGCGTTCCTCTGCTTTGTTCTAAAAAGAATTTAAGACAGTTTGTAATGTAGACTATCATAAAAAAGTAAAACAAGTTAAAAGTGGAAGCAAATGAAAAATAAAGGTGGGGATTGACATAAAATGGGGTCAGAGAAAGCATAGCATGTTAATCTGAAACTTGTTAGGCTGTAAGTTTGGCTCTAAGTGAGCTCTCTAGTCATTGATAGTAGGTTACAGAGTTCATGAGATAAAACAATGTCATTGCTCAGAAGTAAGGATATTCTTGGATGTTGTAAAGAACAATTTCCTACATAATATTTTGGTAGTGGCCATGGTTCTTGGGGCTTTATTTCACCCATTTTCAGTGTATGTGGAGTGTTGCTGTCATATCAAAG